CCCTTCGATTGTGTTCCTTCATGTCTCCGTGGCCTGCTGTGGCTTCCAGTCTGGTAGTGTCTCCCCCAATACTCACACAGTGTTAGAAGACATACACATAAGCAGAGGCAGGCATGGGGCTCACTTCATCCTGGCATCGAGTACATGTAAAAATAGACACAAGCGCCGTACCTTTGCTCACAGGTCTGAGGCCCTGGCTCACCGTCTTGCTCTGCTCCTTACAGGGATCTTATCGCTGTGGGCCTTGTAAACCAGGGTACATTGGTGATCAGACGAGGGGATGCAAAATGGAAAGAAACTGCAGGAATCCAGAACTGAACCCTTGCAGCGTGAACGCACAGTGCATTGAAGAGAGGCAGGGGGATGTGACATGCGTGGTAAGTTGTTTGCTACTTTCTTTATCATTTTCCCCCTTCCATTTGAAACACCATGCCTCTCTGGTTTCTACTTGCTTCAGGGTAAAAGTACTCAAGAATGAAAACAATTCCATCAAAGTAAACAAAGGATGTAGTAATAACAGAGTCAGCTGAGTTTGTGGGGAGCAATCTGAAGTGCACCTGACCATCAGCCACCCTCTTTCTCTCCCTCTTGGCCGTGGGTCGGCACCATCCCCTTGGGCACCTCGGTGGTGGAGCCCCAGCTCCCAGCCACCCCCTCTGGAAGGCCCAAGAAGTGAACAGCCGGAGCGGAAGGAGCCTCCTTCCCTCCCTTCCGACTGCTGCCCTTACTGTCCTCACCCTGAGGGCATCCAGTTTCAAAATCTGGCCTCATACTCCAGGAAGTGAGCCACAGTGGAGGGGTGGTGGGCTGCTCTTATAAACCCTGGGAGGAAACCTCCCATCTTCCGCAGCACCCTCTGTTCTCTGTGTCCACCTCGGCCGGGTTCAGGAGTAGCTCAGTGGGTGCTCACTCTCCTTCCCATGCGGTTCCCCACCCGGGAGCCGGCCTGGGGAGGAGGAGGTGGGTAGAGGGCAGGGCAGTTGCAGCCTTGCAAGGGTCTCCCACCAGGCAGGTGTGTAGTGGACCCTTGGCGAGGAATGAGGTTCATGCCTGCCATCCATCCTGCCCTGGAGTCCTGGGGGATTCTAGGCGCTGTTCAATCAGCCATCTTCAGCCACTCACCTCCCCAGGGAGCCAGGCCCTTTAGAGTTGGGGGCTCATAGGTTCATGGCGATCACCCTGAGCGGCAGGATGGATCCTGGGAGACTTTTTCTCTCTTCTTTATACCTCAAACTCAGACTCCCTTACCTTCATGTTCTCAGAATTTTCTACAATGGGCATATCATTTTCAAATAGGAAAAATGAGAAGAATCAAAACTAAGTTAGAGAAATAACTGTAATGGCACCAGCTCTCTCCATCAACACAGATAAATTGTAACAAGATACTGATGAGGGAATGGGCTGGGTTCAAGGGGGAGAAAAAAATCAACAGTTCCTCTAATTCCTGTTGATGGGGCATGTTTATTCCCATTGAGAGGCAAGCGTATATCTATGTTTAAATCCTCATTTTCTGTGAACAAATTAACAATTCCCCTGGGATGGTGGGTGATGAGGCTCTTCATGTGTTTTGTTTTTTTTCCCTTAATGTGTTTTTGAATTCGTGGTAAGGCACAATGACAGATGGTAAAGGATTAATACACTTGGTGTGACTACTAAAATAATTTAATCTGCCAGAAAATGGCTCATTAAAAACATACTTGTTCCTAGAGGAAATCTTTTCTTCATTAAAATGAGTCAAGGACCATACCCCACGGCTGAGCTCTCCAGGCCCTCTGAAGGCCCTGCTGAAGCAATTGTACAGAAATAGGGCTAGTTGCTGGGAGGGGTGTCTTTGGATTCTGCCTTCTACACCTCTGGTTGCAGAAGCGGGGTGCACAAGATTAAGAACAGCCAGGCTGCAGCTTAGGAAGTCACTGGTCTTAAATCACGTTATTTTGATTAACGAGGGCAGGAAATTTAACATTTACTCATGTAAAGTTTCTTTTTCCTTGGCCCTGTTCCCCCGGCTCTTACCTGCCCCTGCCTTGCTGGTTCCCTGTCATTTTCCAGGCCCCCTTGTCTCCTGTTCCTTCTGCAGTTCTGCCTGCCCCTCCTCGGGCACCTATCCTGCTCCTGAGCTGAGCTCCCAGGTGCCACCTCATACCCAGGACACCGCTTATGGAAGGATTTCCTTTCTCTTGGGTTTATCATTCATCCTTTAGCCAGGCCAGCTATATGGAATATCAGAGGGAGAACTCAAAGTGCATGTTAACCAAATACATGTGGCAGAAAACATTGAACTGGGACAGTCTTGAGTTCAAGTCCCAGCTCTGAGACCTTGGGCAAGGGACTTAGCCACTCTGAGCTGAGTCGACTCTTTTGTAAAATGGGATAGTGATGACCTTGGAGCATCATTGTAAGGACTGGAGATAATGCTTATAGAGTCCGGTATAGAATAACTGTTATTTTAATGCCTCTTCTGCTGACAATGAAGGCTTGCTCTCAGCAGCTGGTGGTGGCACGGAACTTGGGTAGACTTTTCCAGAAACGTAGAGAACATGCAGACCCAGCACTACACCTGTGGGAATCTTCACCTGTTAAAAGATATGAGTAGAGGTAAAGCACTTTGGAAGGTTCCTGCTGTGGTGGAAATTGATCTAGAAGACCATTAGATGCAGAGATACGACTGTGGCTCCAGAATGCTAAGGAAGGTGCCACAGCAGCCACTCCACCCTTGTGTGCATTCATTTCCATTGGGAGAAGAAATTGGATAATCATATGGAGAACATTTTGACAATAATTCAAAAGTACAAATACCCTTGAACCAAGAATTTCATACTAAGAAGCCAGTACATGTGCAGAATGATAAATGTCCTCAAATTCTTTGTGGCAGCATTGTTTGCGACAGAAAAAGGTTTTAACGACTTGACAGCGACCAGTAGGGGACTGGTTGAATTAATTGAGGTGCATGCATTCCACTTTATGTATGTTATATCTGTGCCCATTAAAAAGGAAGACACTAATCTACGTGTGGTAATATGAAAAGAGCTCTAAGATATAATGTTAATTTTTTAAAAATTCAAGGTACAGAGCAGCGTTTATATGTGTGCTACCAATTGTGCTGAACGACAAAAAGAGAAAAAGAACGTATGTGTGTTTGCTGATCTCTGCCCAGCATGTCTCTGAAAGTATTCATGAGAGCAGATTGCCTTGATTCCTGAGCCAAGGTGCAAGAGCAGGAAGGAGTTTTCACTCTCCCTTTGTACTTTTTGAATTTTGAAGCATTAGACTATTCAAAACACAGTTTAATAGTTTTAAAATCCTGCGAACAAAGCTTTCTGGCCCTCCCTCTGGGGATGCACACACAGGAGCAGAGGCCCCTGTCGGACCCTGGCCTCCCACCAGGCTCAGCTCCTGGACTCTTGACGGGTTTTTCCTTCACAGTGTGGGGTTGGCTGGGCTGGTGACGGCTACATCTGTGGAAAGGACATGGACATTGACAGCTACCCTGACGAAGAATTGCTGTGCTCTGCCAGGAACTGCAAAAAGGTAAGGCGGTCGAGCAGGAGAAAAAAACACACACACACACACACGCACATGCACGCACACTCTGTGGCTTTCCAAAGCCACATCTTATATGGGGCAGAGGTTCTGTGGCTTCCATTTAAAATTGTATTTTTGAAGTAGCTGCATCTCAAATGTAGCAAAACAGCCATCAACAATAAAGCCAGACAGGTAGGGACTTCCCTGGTGGCACAGTGGTTAAGAATCCGCCTGCCAATGCAGGCGGAGACACAGGTTCGAGCCCTAGTCTGGGAAGATCCCGCATGCCGTGGAGCAACTAAGCCCGTGCACCACAACTACTGAGCCTGCGCTCTAGAGCCCGTGAGCCACAACTGCTGAGCCCACGTGCCACAACTACTGAAGCCCGTGAGCCCGTGTGCCTAGAGCCCTACTCCGCAACAAAGAGTAGCCCCCGCTCACCGCAACTAGAGAAAGCGCGCAGCAATGAAGACCCAACGCAGCCAAAAATAAATAAATTTATTAAAAAAAAAAAAAAGACAGGTACAGGCAGAAATAGTTTTTGACTTAAGACAGATGGAGATGGGGATGGGGGAAATGGGGAGAAGTTGACGAAAGGGTGCAAACTTTCTGCCATGAGGTGAATAAGATCTGAGGATCTAATGTATAACATGGTGACTATAGTTGATAACACTACTGTATAGTTGAAATTTGCTAAGAGTGTAGAACTTAAATGTTCTCAGCAAAAAAAATGGGGAGATAAACATGTGAGGTGATGCATATGTTAATTAACTCAATGGGGGAATCCCTTCACAATATCAACGTATATCAAATCATCACATTATACACTTTAAATGTCTTGCAATTTTATTTGTCAGTTATACCTCAATAAAGCTGAAAAAATACAAATGTAGATGTGTCTCTGAGCTGTGTTTCTCCAACTTAGGACAACTGCAAGTATGTGCCAAATTCCGGCCAAGAGGATGCAGACGGAGATGGCCTTGGAGATGCTTGTGACGAGGATGCTGATGGAGATGGGATCCTGAATGAGCAGGTAGGTACCTGCTTTGCTGGGAGGGCCTATGAATTGCCACGTACCAGGGATGGTGGAAGAAAGGCCGTGAAGTCAACTATTTATATTAATCATCCCGATTGTCTGTTTCCATGCCTGCGTTCCCATGGCACTGCAGTTTTTTATTCTAAGATTCTGAAATGTTTATAAAACTGATGAACTTGTGCCTCCTGAGTTGCGACATCTCATGCCAGTCGGGGGAAGGTTGGCTGGCATCCACCACAGGACCAGGCACACAGTGGGGATTCACTAAAAGAGTTAATGTCGGTCTTTTGATCCTTTAGGACAACTGTGTCCTGACTCACAATGTGGACCAGAGGAACAGTGACAAAGATATGTTTGGGGATGCCTGTGATAACTGCCGGAATGTCCTAAATAATGACCAGAAGGACACTGATGGGGATGGAAAAGGAGATGCCTGCGATGATGACATGGATGGAGATGGTGGGTGTGTCTTGCTTAGTCTTTTACTTGGGACTCATTTGTCCTTTTTCCCCTTGTTCTCTCTTAGGAGCAGGAATAGAATGACTGACTCTGAGGGCCTTTCCGCTCCAGGGGGTTCCACATGGCCTGTGCCTGGCGGCCCCAAGGCCCACTTGTTTCTGTGGAAGAAGAACCCTGGTGTTCTGGGAACTCTACATCATTGCCAGCAACTGTAGGAATCCCTTCGAGCAGTGTCTTGTCAGGGATGTGACTTTGTAGGGCATCTGTCTTCCCAGACTGCAGCTTTCCTCCCTCCCCACCATCCTTCTCATGCATAAGGGTCCTGGAAGTGGAGGATTGAGGTAGAGGGGCTAAGCAGTGTCATGGGCTGCAGCCCTGGGTCAGGCTCCTCCTGCAGAGACTCAGGCATTTCCCAGGAGCCTGGGAAGAGCTGTCAGGCAGGGCGGCTACATCAGCCAGCTCCAGGGTCCACTGAAGGGGCCTCGTATTGTGGTCTGTGTGAATAGCACCTCTGGAGCACAACTCTGGAGCCTCACAGGCCGTGAGGGAGGACGTTTGTTCCTGTATAGCTTCCGTAACATATAGGTGACTATCATCAAAGTATAGGCTGGATCCGATGGTTTCTGAAAAACACATCACAACACAGGACCTTGAAGGAATTTCCTTTTAGAAATACACTACACCCACCACTAACCAACACACACCCCACACTCCAGACTATTCACATGTCTCTAAAACACGATCCCACCTTCTATAAGCCTGACTGATGGTAAACCAGCTCAGCGAAACAAACAAAAAACACCCCGAGTTGTAGCATTTGCCAGTTTCCATTATGTAAATACCACTCCCACCATCACTGGTTCCAAGGTACCAAGAGGAGATGACATGATTGAACGGGAAGCTGGGGAGAAATGGGTATGACTGGCCTGACTCCAGCACACCACTGCCTGAGCCCCGGGGCCCTTGTCATAGCTCACACACCCGTGAGGTCCTCCCTCTCCAGGGTCGGCCCACCTAGCCCTCATGACCCCCTCATCTGGTTGCAGTGATAGCCCTTGATATCTTCAACAAATTCTAACTCAGTGGATAAATGCCTTAGGTCATTCTTCTTTTAAGTCTCCCAGAATCCATCCTTTGACATTACCTCCAGGTAACTGCTGGAAAAGGTATGGCTGTCTGAGGATGGCCCAGGCAGACATTACCTACTGTGTGCCATGTGCTGGCCTGATCTCTACAGCACCTGGAAGTCTGTGCTCCAGACCTTTCTGTGATGTTCACCTGACTCAGGGAAGCATTCCTTTCTCATAGGAATAAAAAACATCCTGGACAACTGCCAGAAAGTTCCCAACCGTGATCAACAGGACAAAGATGGTGATGGCGTGGGGGATGCCTGTGACAGCTGTCCTGATGTCAGCAACCCTAACCAGGTTAGCAGGATCCAGGGGCATCCAAACTCTAGGCTGAACTGCCCAATGCAGAGACTCGTGTAAGACACGTGTCTGGAAGAACCCAGCCGAGCCCGCCAGCCCGGTTCTTTGCTGTTGCCTTATACCTAACAGCAGAGGTGGTGAAATTGTATACTTAAGCCTGGAGGTGATGGGAAGAACATTACAGGAGATCTGAGGCCTTCTGGACTAATCTCACAGGCTGTGAAGTCCCTGTGAGGTTAGGAATAGGAGTTTTTGGGGTTTCTTAAAATTTATTTGGCTGCGCCGGGTCTTACTTGCAGCACGTGGGCTCTTCGTTGCTGTGTGCGGGATCTTTAGTTGCAGCATGCAGGATCTAGTTCCCTGACCAGGGATCAAACCCGGGCTCCCTGCATTGGGAGCACATGCTGGACCTGGTGGTCCCTGCTGGACCACCGGGGAAGTCCCAGTAATAGTTTAATGATGCCCAAAACAAGTTGGGTTTTTTTGCTGAAAGGAAAATGCAATGTGGAAATTAACCATTGGGAGCCTCATGTCCCTTTCATGCCCAAATCCCAACAACAGTCTATGCATGGACATTTCAGATTGGGATCAGTCAGCGATGTGCTGTTTCCCTTCTCTCTCCTCCTTCCTGTCTGGATAATTGGATATGATGTGTCACTTATTTTTAAAGCCCTGAGAGAGGGGCGTCATTATTGCCCTCTGACTCACTCCCATTCTGGCTCAATTCCAAAATGCAGAAGCAAAGCAAAATCTGTTTGCCTTGTCCCCGTGCCTGTGGCTGGCTCCCTTCCGACCCGTGCCAGAGTGCCACGTCTCCACCTGCCACCATGCTGCCCCAGCGCCCTTCTCCAATCAGCTCATCTGGTGTGTAGGCAGCCCATCCTTGGAGCTTGATATTTTGGAAGGCTTTTTTGAAAATTCAGCATTGTGCCTACACCAATATGGTGTTGTCCTTTTGCAGTTTGCACCACCCCAATTCCAGAGAAATAATTCCTGAGATCCAGTGATGATGGGCTGGGTCTGCCTTCTCTGGAACATTCTGTGCAGGCCCAGGGGTAAATAACACGTTTTGTTCTCTTTGCAGTCTGATGTGGATAACGATCTGGTTGGGGACTCCTGTGACACCAATCAGGACAGGTATGGCATGTTTCCCAGCTGCATAGGGCTGATGAAAATTCCAGAGAAAGTTTTCTCTTTCAGAGCTCTCCGTTGCTACCATGCTTTGGGATCTCTCTGGGCAGATTGAGTTGCTGGAGGGACAATAGCCCTGTCTTTGGTCAGGGTCACTGCACCTCCATGAATGGGGGACTTGACGGTACCAGGAGGGGCCACTAGGCACTCAAGCAACTGAGACTCTATCACAGGAGAGGCGGTGTAGCATCATGCTTTAGAGATGGGCTCTGGAGCGACACAGCTAGATATAAATCCCAGCTCCTCCACTTACACATCAGCTTACCTTAGGCAAGTTACCTCATGTCTCTGTGCCTCCATTTTCTCATCTGTAAAATGGGGATGGAAATGGAATGTAGCTCTTAGGACTATTGTGAAAGTTGAGTTAATTTATGGAAAGGACATATTACAGTTTCTGTTGCATAGATGTTAGCTCTTTTGCTGTTATATTCTTTCAGCTCAGGAAAGCTTCATCATCATCCCAAAATAGAGAGCTGTCAGTTTGCTGAGGGAATCACTGTTATTTCATTGTCCTTGGAATTTTTTCTTTCAGTTTTCTTTATTTGGGTGGAGTTGTTCTATGCAAATGAATGTTGTCAGCCCTTCTAGCCCCACATGGATGGAGTCCTACGTTAAGACACAGGGCTGGATCAGATGCTATAGGAACATCAAAAATGTAGGCATGGCCAGCTCTGCCCTAGAGGTACCTGCCGTCCAAGACTCTAAACCCTTTCCTCTCTGTAGGCAATCATAGGGGCAGCAGGACAGGGGTGAGAGAGGGAAAGGAGTCTAAAAGGCAAAGCAGGAAGAAACATAGCTGCCCTTCTCAACCTCTTCTCAGAGGCTTCCCTACAGGCAGCAGCTCCCAAGCCCAACCTTGCTCAAGGACAGCTCCTATCAAGTCCTTGTGCTCCGTGTCCTTGATGCACAGTACATGCCAGCTAAGTGAACGTCAACAGACTTCTCAGTCTCTGAGTCTCAATTTCTTCATCTGCAAAGTAGAGAGAATTAAATGCCAAGTGATGGTAAAAAAGAAAGATAATGTAGGTAAAGCTTCTACCTACAGTGCTGGCCCTCAGATGACCTGCAGAAAATGGTAACTGAGGTATTAGTGTTATCACAGCATGAGGAAAGGAGAGGCAAGTTGGAGACAGTTTGACATAGGATGTCTCCGTTTTTGAGGGGAAGGTGCGACTGGTACCCTGACAACGTCCCTCAATAATGTACATCAAGAATGTTCCCTGTTGTAGGTCATCCTGTGCTCTCAGTGCCATCTAAGTGATTTCTAAAATAGCCTGTCCCACCAGCCTCTAGATTTTCTGCCTAAAATAACTCATTCCACTACATTTTAATTCCCACAAACTTGAGGACAGAAACTGCTTGGTTTTGCATAAAAATGTTCAGGGCTATATGGAATGGCTGCTAATGGAAATAGCTCAATCTTATGATTTGGAAAGCAGCCCTGCCACATGCCCAGGAATTCCACTGTTGGAGTTGTGTCACCTTCTGCTTGTCAGGGTTGACCTCACTTTCTCTGGGAAGCATTGGCCTGAAGGGCAAGGACTGGCCCCTGGCTTCCCTTCCTTGTCCCACTGTGGACAGCATGGGGCAGTTGCTGGTCCAGGACGAGCTGTGGGTGGCGCCCGTGAAAGGAGTATCTGCTCAAATCCAGGGTAGCCGTGGGAGGCCTCCATCAACTCAGGGAAGCCTGGGGACAGGGCAGACTCATCCTCAGGTGGCCGTTAGGCCTGGAAAGAAGGAATGTCAGGTGGGCAGAGAACGAGGGTTCTGAGAAGTGCGTTAGCCCAGGGCCGAGCCCGGCCTACGTGCTCAGTTCTTGGGAAGGGTGGCCCTGCTGCTCCTGCCCTTCTCCCTGTGCATTCCCGTCTGACGCTTCTCAGGCTTACTGGCTGGGCATGGTGAAGAGTCACAGAAAAGGAAACACCTTAGGGCTTCCCAAGAGCCAGGCACTTAGAAGTATTTTTCCTATGTTAAAACGTAACATGCAAAATTCTAATCACTTAATCATTCAATCTTCCTAACAACCCTGTGAGGTAGGCTGTTATTATTCCCATGGTACAGGGGAGGATGCTGAGCCGTAGAGGGGTAAGTGTCATGTCCGGGGCCCGATGCTGGTGCGCAGCTGAGCCAGGACTCACAGCGGGCAGCGAGTCCACTGCCCCTCACTTTGTTCCCCTCCCACTTTCTCTGTTGGGGGTCACAGTCATGCCCGGGGACTGAAAGGAGCATCTGGTCACCAAATCACAGAAATAGGCCCTTATTTTGAATAGAAAATGATCTACTTGTTTCAGCAGGTTGGAGAAGTGGGAAATGGTCTCTGAGGCCCATAAGGCAGCCTCATCTAAGGACCTGTGGGGGTGATGAAAGACCAAGCCCGGTTAAGACCCCAAACCCAAACTCTCCCTCCTGAGAACTGGACTCTTCGTGTCCTCTGCTGAACTGGGACGCAAACCCCCTCTCCTTTCTCCCACAGTGATGGAGACGGGCACCAGGACAGTACAGACAACTGCCCCACTGTCATAAACAGTGCCCAGCTGGACACTGATAAGGATGGAATTGGTGACGAGTGTGACGATGATGATGACAATGACGGCATCCCAGACCTGGTGCCCCCTGGACCAGACAACTGCCGGCTGGTCCCCAACCCTGCCCAGGAGGACAGCAACAGTAAGTGGGCTCAGCCCCGGGCTCCCTTCAGCCAGGCACATGGTGGCCCACCTCTGCCAGGGCCCCAGCTTCTCTGAGCAGCCACAGCTTGTGTGGACGGTAGACATCTGCTAGACACCAGTCTCCAACTGTCAGATAAGAGCTGCTTCCGCGCAGCCCTAGGATGAGATCACACGGGGCAGGGAAGCAGCCACGTGCTGCTCGGGGCTTGGAGAGCTGATCCACCATCTTGCCCGTGCCTTTCACCAGAGTCACAGGGCAGGAGCGGGATGGAGGGGAGGGCACCGCAGCGCTGCGTGATGCCTGATGCCAGCAGGGGCCAAGCTGTTAAGGAAAGGTATGCACAGAGCCAGCAATGAGACAGCAGAGTGGTGAGGGCACGTGGCGGTGCGTTGGTGAGGGCATGCCCATCCCAGTATGCAAATTCAAATTTTAATACCATCTGTCAGCTGGACAAAAGACACTGGGCTATATTCAGCCTAAGGATCACTGTAAATTCTGCTTAGATTTTGGTGACCATAATTTCCCTGCTTTTTATGCATCATAGTCCAGAAAGTACTGTAGACATTTGCTTACGTAAGGTCAGGCTTAAGATCCACCAGTTGGGGCTTCCCTGGTGGCACAGTGGTTGGGAGTCCGCCTGCCGATGCAGGGGACGCGGGTTCGTGCCCCGGTCCGGGAAGATCCCACATGCCGCGGAGCGGCTGGGCCCGTGAGCCATGGCCGCTGGGCCTGCGCGTCCGGAGCCTGTGCTCCGCAACGGGAGAGGCCACAAAAGGGGGAGGCCCCCGAAACAAAAAAAAAAAAAAAAAAAAAAAAAAAATCCACCAGTTTAGTGAAACCCCTGTCCTAGAGGACAGCCAGGGTTTCCTGTCAGGTCAACATTGAAGTGTACTTTTTTTTAAGTTTTTTTTTTTTTTGTGATGTGGACCATTTTTAAAGTCTTTATTGAATTTGTTACAATATTGCTTCTGTTTTTTGGCTGCGAGGCATGTGGGATCCTAGCTCCCCAACCAGGGATCGAACCCGCATGCCCTGAATTGGAAGATGTGGTCTTAACCACGGGACCACCAGGGAAGTCCCTTGTCAGGTCATCTTTGGACAGTTGCCCTCCACTCTGTCCCTAGGAAGTCCTTTTGATCACCTGCAGTGGGGTTCACCAACCCACCACGAGGACCGCGGGGCCGGCTCAGACACGGCTGATTCCAGGACTCCTCGCTCCACGTGGAGCTGGGTCTTGGGCTCTCTCTGCTCCTTGCCCAGCCCCCTCTGTCACGGAGCGGGTGGCTTGAGGGTAGTAGGCATTACTGAACTGATCCCCTCCTCCTCCACCCCCGCAGGCGACGGCGTGGGGGACATCTGCGAGACAGACTTCGACCACGACCAGGTCATCGATCGGATCGACGTGTGCCCGGAGAACGCAGAGGTCACCCTGACCGACTTCAGGGCCTATCAGACGGTGGTCCTGGACCCTGAAGGGGACGCCCAGATCGATCCCAATTGGGTGGTCCTGAACAAGGTGAGGGTCATGCGGTTGGCACCGGCTCAGCGTTGCCTCTCGACACAGGCCCTTCTGAGAGTACTGGGTAAATTTTGAGGGTGCCGACCTCCAGCCAGGTGCTGTTCCGCGTCGTGTTTGTTCCTCTCAACAGCCCTGTGACAGAGCTCTTTCATTAGCCTCGTTTTACAGGTGATGAGCTCAAGTGTTACAAAGCTTGAATGATTACTCAGGGTAGCACTGCAGTTAAGCAGCTGAGATTGCTGGATTTGGGACCTAGGCAGTCTGACCCTAGAGCCATGCTTCTAATCTCCGCAGCAGATGCTCCGGTGTGTCCTCCTCCCTGTGGACCTGAAGAAGACAGGCACAGAGAGGCTTCGTAGGTTTTCCAGTGTCACCCAGGAGGTCACATTCATTAGAAGCATATGTTCTCTAATTAAGGGTTTATTGACTCAGCTTAAGTGACAGTTTTAGCAAAACTATTTCTACTTAGCTTTGAGGGTTTTTTGTTTTTTTTCTAAGGGTACGCTTTCTTTGAGCACATAACAAGGTAGAGCAGTTCCTCAGATAATGAAATCTTTACATGGAGGTCTGAGGTTCTGGGCTTCTCTGAGATTATTCTACCCCCTCCAAGGTTAATCTTAACCCCTTCAACTCTCTCTGCAGGGCATGGAGATCGTGCAGACCATGAACAGCGATCCAGGCCTGGCAGTGGGTACGTCCAGGGCCTCATCACCACTGGTACAGAATTCACTCTTTCAAGCTGGTGTGGCTTGTCTGTTCTCCTCATCTATTTTGATCTTTACAGGGTACACGGCTTTTAATGGAGTGGACTTCGAAGGGACCTTCCACGTCAACACCCAGACGGACGATGACTATGCTGGCTTTATCTTTGGTTACCAAGACAGTTCCAGCTTCTATGTGGTCATGTGGAAGCAGACAGAGCAGACGTACTGGCAGGCCACCCCGTTCCGAGCTGTTGCAGAACCTGGCATTCAGCTCAAGGTACGCATCTCCCTTTCCTCTGGGCCCTTCACCCACCTTTTAAATTCTGTGTTCTCCCATATGGCATTTATCCATCTAAGGAATTGATGCATTTGTGCCAGCATTCAAGTTAGGGAACACTGGAGCCCATCCAGGGCCTTGCCTTCACTCCTGCGTACAAGCTACATGCTTCCCTCTGGGTGACTGATGGTGAGAATGTCAGCCCCAGTAGGGGCCCAAGAGGTGGGGAGGACTTGGAGGTGCAGCTTCAGGCACACTCTTTTGGAAACTGGTATTGTGTCTCCTCGATGGGGCCAGCTTTGTACAGGAGGGCTGGGAGGCTACCTCTGTCACTCCTGCTGGGAGGAAAGGCACACTTCAGAGCCCTCATTGGCCAAATGTGGGGAGCAATGGATTTTCAGCAGGAAAAACATGGGCTGGGTTAGTGGAATACTGGCCAGTGCGGCTTACTGAAAGGCTGGGGGGAGCACCGCAGTAGAAATGGCACTTAAGTGTTTGTTTATGCTTTGTGTCCAGATCCAAAGCCACCAGATTGTAACCGTGAATTCCCACCCCGTCACCACCCCAGGGATGGAGGGTGCGGGAAGGGTGGTCTGTGTGTTCTGTTCTAAGACCTCACTCGTGTCGTCCAGGCCGTTAAGTCTAAGACGGGTCCAGGGGAGCATCTCCGCAACTCCCTGTGGCACACCGGGGACACCAGCGACCAGGTCAGGCTGCTGTGGAAGGACTCCAGGAACGTGGGCTGGAAGGACAAGGTGTCCTACCGCTGGTTCCTGCAGCACCGGCCCCAGGTGGGCTACATCAGGTAGGTGCAGCGCCCCCTCCTCACCGTGCACTTGAAGTAAAGCGCATCCTCCTCCTGCATCACAGAGCCTCCGCTTCCCTGAGCCGAGGGTCCCCGAGGACACGCTGGGACCTCAGGCTCCCAGAAAAGAGGTGGGAGGACGACACCTGGCTCAGACTGACCGCCTGGATGGTAGGGCCAAACTGGGGGTAGAAGGACCTTCTGTGGGGGAGGCCTTGGTACCAGGGCACCAGAACGGTGATTCCCCTCTGCCATGCTGACCCGTGTGAGGTGAGACGTGCACTGACTCTCCCATCCGCATCCCCATGTGGTCCCTCTATCATCACTTACCCCCAAACAAACAAACATTTCACGCTGCAGTGAGTCCCTCACGGTCTGATAAACTCCACGAGGGCAGCACCCATGTCATTTTATCTTGGTCTCCCCAGTGCCTGACACAGTGATGGCGTGTCCCACCCTCGGCATGAACTGGCCCTCATGTGAGCCGATGTAATCTCCCTTATTTCCCTGTAGGACTATTTAAAAAACAACTGTTCTCAGAAACTAGGATGCCTTAGCACTACATCTTTGAAATTTAGTCGGTGTACTTTTCTCTCTCATTCCTCAAACTTACAGATCAACACCCGTGCCAGCTTATGTAGCACTTTTAGGAAGGGTGCTGACTGCTTTCTGCTGCCTGGGGGCAAGGAAGCTGCTGAGTGGAAAAAAGCGAATCATGAGGGCTAGTTCATATTTCGTCCTTCTTTGAGACATTACATCAAATGTAATCTGTCTCACAGTAAGATGACCATGTTCTCAGCCCTATTTAGCTTAATGCCCCTTTTTTATGACATATTTTGAGATGCCCCCTCTGTGTCCCAAAATAAAATCATAGAAAATATAACCTACCTGCACATATTATTTTAGAGTCAATCTGATCCCTAATAGAGAAATAATAATTTATAACAAAATCGTGTAAATGCTTGGACACAGCCACACCCAACACAAAATGAGACAGACACTGGCACCGGTGCCTAGAATCACGGCAGAGGCAATGTCCTACTACAGATTGGTGTGTTGTAGACACAACAGTGGTAATGTGACTTTCTAAAATGGTGAACAGCTACAGAGAAGGACAAATATTGTATGACATCGCTTACATGTGGAACCTAAAAGGTACAAATGAACTGATTTACAAAACAGAAGTAGAGTCACATGTAGAAAACAATCTATGGTTACGGGGGGGGCGGGGAAGGGATAAATTAGGAGGTTGGGATTGACATCTACACACTACTGTATATAAAATGCATAACTAATAAGGACCTACTGTATAGCACAGGGAACTCAATATTCTGTAATGGCCCATGTGGGAATAGAATCTAAAACAGTGGATATATGTATAACTGATTCACTTTGCTGGACAGCAGAAAGTAACACAACATTGTAAGTCAACTATACGCCAATAAAATAAGTAAACAGCTTAATTGTTAAACAAAACAAAGTACAGCTGACCTTTGAGCAATTCAGGGGATCAGTTCCAGGACCCCGCCAGGGATAAAGACCTGCAGATGCTCCAGTCCCGTAGTCGGCCTTCCGTATCAGAGTCAACCACCTGGAGATCACGTAAAGTAGTATTTGGAAAAAATCCACGTATAAGTGGATGCATGCAGTTCAAGCCTATGTTGTCTCAGGGTCGACTGTACACAGGTTTTCAATTTACCCTGGAAAATCAGTCAATACCAGTGCAAAAACTACTTGATGTTCACAAGTGAGAGAGAGTTAGGTTCTAAGCCCAGATAAACAGTCTCTTCACCTACCCAAGGGTCTGGAGGAGCACCCCAAAAGTGTCTGGATGCAGGACAAGTTTTGATTTTTCTCTCCAGGGCCTTGTAAGCCACCCAGCACCCCTGGCCTCTGTCACTAAATGCCACGGTGACAGCTCAAAATGGTCCCACAAATGTCTCAAACCCTGCTTAGGGAGCGCCGTCCCTCCCGAGGAGAATCATTGCTCTGGGATTCCACCCAATGTTATCAGTTCGACCTAGAGAAAAGCAGTGGTTTTCAAGCATGAGGTCTGGACAAGGTAACTCACTGGACAGTGAAGTCACAGAGCCTCTTGGTCCTGAGTCGTACTGTGATCTCTTTAACTCATCAGCGAGCATCCAGCGAGTTGAACTCGGTGCCCAGCATCATGCTAGGCCTTTGGAGAGACAGAAGAGGGGAGATGTGGACAGGTGGTCGCTGACCTCATGGAGCTTCCAGTCTCGTAGGGAAAGGGGAACACGGGAGCACGATCCAGGTCTGTGAAAAGTGGAGTATGAAACAGCAAAGACGCAGGTGGATAAGAAGTGGGACCCCCTAGGTCTTACGACAGGCGCTTCCACCAACCTTGGTTGGAGACCCGCTCTGGCTGTGTTGTCCTCAGGGTGCAGTTTTATGAAGGCTCCGAGTTGGTGGCTGACTCGGGGGTCACCATAGACACCACCATGCGTGGAGGCCGGCTCGGCGTGTTCTGCTTCTCCCAGGAAAACATCATTTGGTCCAACCTCAAATATCGCTGCAATGGTAACGTACATTCTTGTCACTGCATACTATTACTACTAGAAAGAAAATCAAATAATGCCACCCTCTTGTATAGCGCACATCCCTTTCAGGAGCCACAAGCTCATGCCACATATTCCCGAAACCTGAGAATCCCTGTGTCATCCAAGTAAAAGGTAGATCTCATTTTTCCTATTTGATAGATGAGGAAATTGAGCCCCAGAGAATTAAACTGCTTGGCTTAGGACGTGGGTTCAGTGAGAGATTCAGGCAGGTTTAATTGACAGGCAGCCTTCATTTTCATACAGCTCACACATAATCATAAACTCAAAATCCATTCTGCGTGCAAATTTTCTTTAGGCCTGTGAATGAGCACTCCTGGGCTTTAAGCCAACAATTTGCAAAGCAGCTGGCGGTAGAAAATGGCTGCCGCGGGTGTGGCGTGAAGTGGTGTCTTTGGGGGCCTGCTGGGTGGGCTGACAGCAACCCCTACAGGATGCCTCCCAGCGTGAGATGCACCAGGATGCGGGCTGGAGAGAGCCTTCCTAATCCCCCTGTGCCTGTTCTCCTTTGCAGACACCATCCCAGAGGACTTCCAAGAATTTCAAACCCAGAATTTCGATCGCCTGGATAACTAAACCAAAGAAACAATCCATGACTGCTTTTCCAGACACTGAAACCACATATTTTTTAACCTCCTACAACTTTCTTTATATACACTGTGGCTTTCTTTTGCCCACCCAAATATACCAAACTTTTTATATGAATGTAGCAATAAAGAAGAGAATTTCTAAAAACTGTGTTACCCAGATATCACTTGCACGTGGCTCAGGCTTTGATGATGTGTGTGCCGTTCTCTGTGGTGTCCACGTGCAACAGTCAAAAGGCTCAGGCCAGAGGTCTCATCTTCCGTCTCTCCAGTTAGCTTCACACAGAAGCCTCACAGTTCCGTGCTCACCTCAGCAGCCTCCTTATTCTGGGTAAGAAGCCTCAGAAACACTGCTGAGGGACACCTTTCCTATGAAGACTTTTCCTGACCCATCCTGGGGCAGATTTGTCCAGTTCCTTCTGTTACCCTCGCCACCTCACACACACACCTTCTGCCCAGACTTCTATGCCAGCACTTTCAACACGGTTATTGTGCTTATTTATATATTTGGCTCCCTCTAGTGGAATATCAGCTAATTGAGAATAAAGGACCGTGCCTTAACTACAATCTGTATCATCTGAGTGCCCGACATGGAGTAGATATCCAGTAAATTTTTGGCTGGCTGGCTGCACGAATGCCTCTTAAGTAATAAGGACAATAGCGTATATGGATCATAGAAGCCCTCCTACAACTCAGAAAGCTGCTTACAACATACACTCTATATGCGGTGGTATCGGCAGCCTCGCCGTGTGTACGGGACAGAAACTTGCCTGATTTTTGCACTAGCCTTTCTCCCATTCCATTTGTTAGGCAAAGATCCAGGCAAATTTTTATAAGTTCCCTTAGATTTTTGTTTCAAGGAATATTGCTGGGCAGTAATATATTCTCCAAATTCTAAAATTCCTGGAAGTATTTTAAATCATAAATAAAGGATAAATACTGTGACCACTGTTTTATTATATTTCAGTAGTCAGAAAACACAGTGGCATACGCATGACCAATATGAGACGTGCAGGATTTCGGGCCACCTCTCACATGTAAACCCTACAGATGGAGGTTGCCTCAAAAGTCAGGACTTAGACCTTCAATCAGGGTCTTCAGTGAGTGGACAGAACTTAGACCTGTCTACCAATTATTCCCTCTGCTGACACAGAGGGAATCTAGTCTCGCAGGCAGATCCTGCTACAGGAGCTGCCTTCCCAGGATCTCTGGGCCATATTTCTGTCGTGACACATGTGGTTCCACATCTACAAATCTTTCCCAATTCTAAAAAGCCCAGGAAGGAGAAGTAAATTCATATGGTTGGAGATTGTCACCTCTCAATCTTCCCCGCTTTCCTTGCTTTTTGTATCCCACTGAAAGGTTATTTCCTGAGCCCCGAGGGCCTCCAGGAGCTCTCTGGCCCTCCTGGTCCACACCCACTCTATGGTAGAGTTACGTCATACCTTTATAGGTATAAAAGGGATTTCATACTACAAAATTTTAGTGTGCTTTCTCTGGAGTCCTTGGCACTTTACTAGCAATATGTGATGAAGGCTACAGATACTGTTCTTGGGGGATTTCATTCTAATCACTGAAGTACATGCCAAACTGAAATATATATTTTTAAAAACCCATACAACTCAATAACAAAAAACAATCCAAGTTTTAGATGGACAGAGAACTAAACAGTTTTCCAAAGAAGACATCAAAATGGCCAACAGGCACATGAAAAGATGCTCACCATCACTAAACATCAGGGAAATGGAAATCAAAACCACAATGGGGGGGGGGGGGCTTCCCTAGTGGCACAGTGGTTGAGAGTCTGCCTGCCGATGCAGGGGACGCGGGTTCGTGCCCCGGTCCAGGAGGATCCCACATGCCGCGGAGCAGCTGCGCCCGTGAGCCATGGCCGCTGAGCCTGCGCGTCCGGAGCCTGTGCTCCTCAACGGGAGAGGCTACAACAGTGAGAGGCCCGCGTACCGCAAAAAAACAAACAAAAAAAACAATGGGATTCATCTCATCTATTAGAATGGCTATCATCAAGAAGACAAGAGACAACAAGTGCTGGCGAGGAGGTGTTGAAAAGAGAACCCTTATATACTGTCTGAATGTAAATTGGTCCAGCCACTGTGGAAAACAGTATGGAGTTTCCTCATAAAATTAAAAATAGATCTACCATAAGATCAGTATATACCAAAAGAAATGAAAATAGGATTGCAAAGCAATACGTACACTCCCATGTTTATTGCAGCATTATTCACAATAGCCAAGATATGGAAACAACCTAAATGCCCAATGGATGAATGGATTAAAAAAAAAAGATGTAGTATACACACACAATGGAATATTATTCAGGCATGAGAAAGGAGGATCTCCTGCCATTTGCAACAACATGGATGGACCTTGAGTAGTATGCTGAGATAAGTCAGATACAGAATGACAAATACTGTGTGATATCACTTATATGTGAAATCTAAAAAAGTCAAAACTTTTGAAAAACAGAGTAAAATGGTGGTTGCCAGAGGATGAGGAGTGAGGGGATAGGACTGCTGTTGTTTAAGGGTACAAACTTGCAATGAGAAGTAAATACGTCATAGAGAGCCAATGCACGATACAGTGAATATACACGACAATATTGTACTACAATCATCAAACTTGCTGAGACTAAAACTTATCCCAACCACTAAAAAGAAATGATAATTATGTAATATGATAGAGGCGCCAAATAACACTGCAACAGCAATCACATTACAACATGTAAATATATCAGATTAACATGTTGTATACCCTAAATTCACACAACGTTATATATCAAATATATTCAATTTAAAAAAGCAAAGAAGTGGAAGAAACTGTGAAAATCGGGAAGCACTTGAGAGAAGCTAGACAAAGGCCAGATACACACCATAGGAACAGACTAGCAGGTGTGGTACCCTCTTCCCCAAGTCACAACCTGGGACTTTTGAATGTTTACACTCAACTTTATCTCAGTGACTCAAATTCCTATTAGAGTTTCATTCAGGTTAGTAAGGTCCTCCTTTGAGTTTTAGTAACACCCCTAGGAGTCTGAGCAGCCATCACTCACTCACCAACGAGGATAAAGTCATCCCGTTGCCTATCCACCTCCTCATTTCTGACTGAGATCAAGGGTCCTGGGGGCGTGGGAGGTGTGACTGGCCGAGAGAAGAGGCTCATCACTGTGGGAAAAAGACCATGCCTGGGTAGACTCCCACCAGGTGTGGGGAGAGTTCTTGGGGCAGGAGGAGGGTGCAGAGGGCATCAGGAGACAGCTCCAGGGCTTGGGAGCAGGTGCAAAGAGGGAGGTAGAGCACATTTTGCCTCCACCCAAGAAAGAAAGGAAGCTCTCCCCTCTCCACTCCCAGGTTATTATTCCGGGATCTCAGAATTAACTAAAGATACAAACTACAAAATCTGAAGTTTATAAGTTCAACTTAAAACTCTTACTATACTCGGGGAAAGGGCAGGGAGGATAAATTAGGAGTTTGGGATTAACATATACACACTACTATATAATAGATAAGCAACAAGGACCTACTGTATAGCACAGGGAACTCTGCTCAATATTCTGTGATAAACTACAAGGGAAAAGAATCTGAAAAAGAATAGATATATACATATATACACATATATGTATAACAGAATCACTGTGCTATACACCTGAAACTAACACAACACTGTAAATCAACTGTACTTCAATTTTTTAAAAATCTTACTATTCTACTATACTCTATCAATATGCAAATCTACTTAGTACTCTATAGCAAAATTTATAACCACTGTTAAGCTTTTGTTTAGTCCCATTTGCAAACTTAATTAAATCTCCCTAAGCACTTAAAATTGCACTTATAAACTTAATACATTAATTTATAACATAATACTACAGTAATTTGTGATATACTATAAATTTACTATGTTTCAATTTCACTTATAAA